ACAGGCCACAGAGGAGCCAGGAGCCATGGACAGTGGGGAGGGAGCTGGCAAAGCAGGTAGTCGACCAGGGTTCAATCCCCAGGGTCCCAGAGGGTCTCCAAGCACAGCCAGAAGTAACCCCCGAGTGCAGAGCCAGGAGTAAGCTCTGAGCACATTTGAGTGCGGCCCAAAAAACAAGAAAAGAAAACAAGTCCAGGGGCTGGAGTGATAGCACAGTGGGTAGGGCGTTTGCCTTGCACGTGGACCAACCTGGGTTCGATTTCCAGCATCCCATATGGTCTCCTGAGCACTGCCAGGAGGGATTCCTGAGTGTAGAGTCAGGAGTCAGCCCTGAGCATCGCCGGGTGGGACCCAAAAAGCAAAAAAAAAAAAAAGAAAAAAAAAAGAGAAAGAAAGAAAGAAAACAAGTCGGGGCCGAAACTTTGAGAAGGATCCCTGAGCAGGTGGCTAGCATACGGGGCACGGCTGGCCCGCATGCAGCAAACAAAACTGTCCACGTACACAATGGCCCCCAGCCAGGCATGCGGCTGCTACTTAAGGTGCAATTGAGACCCCAAAGCTGCCTTTATTAGGATGAGGAGGCCAAGTGTATGGGCTTATTCTCGAAGCTTCAACTGTGAGAATGGCCCCCAAGGGGAATGAGAAAATCCGACCACAGAGAAAGGTTTCTGAACTCACAGCAGCCCAGAATGCACTGGGAATCAACCCCAGCAACGTGGGGGTCCCAGGTGTTTCCAAAGGAAAGTTTGGAAAGCCCAGCCCTAAGGCCCCCTCCATTAAGGCAGCTTCTCTTGTAGACTTCTATGCGATGAGGAAGGAATAACCAAGGAATCGAATTGGCCACAAAAGCAGCAAGCCGACACCAGGCATTTTGCTGCCACAGTTTGCCCTGGAGACACCACTGGCAGGAACCATGTGACGGCTAGTGATCAGCATGGAACTCTCTCCTTTAGTGGGGTGGCACCTCGGGCGCTGCTGGGGAATGGCTGTTTCCAGCACTCAGCAGACTTGGCTGAATGGTCCAACGTGAGGTCCCAGACTGTACTGTTACATGGGGCCAGTGGGACCTGGGCTTTCGCCGGCAGTGTTCAGGGTGCCCTGAGGGACCGGGAACTGAACTGGGGTCTCAGGCTTGGCACAGTCAACCTCTGGGATCCTGGCCTGATGCACTCAGTCCCTGGGGCCTGTGAAACGCAGATGGAGCCAGTGGGTGGGGGAGACTTGAGATCCCGCAGTCCAGCAGGGCTGAGAGTCGGCAAGGAAATGCGTGCTTGTGTCTGGACTCCTGCTCTCTGATTATCTGTACAGGAGGAGAAGAATCGGGGAGTCGGGGGCCTGCTGGAAAAGGAACGAACTCTGCCGTACAAACTGGCCAGTCTCGCTGCAGAAAAACCACCACAAGGAAGAAGCCTCTGGGGAGATGCAAAATGTCATTGGCCACCAAGTTCAGGGAAACAGAGGGCCTGGACACTGCCCCGGACTGGCCTATTGCTTTCCTGGGACACGGATGCCTCACACACGAGTAGAATGAGCAAAGGAGTAACATGGAGGCATGGCTCCTGGCTGTTTCCAGGGAGTATGAACTCAGGAAAGCCAGCTGCTGGCTTTGACGGGAGAGAGGAACAGAAGGACCATCTCAGCCTTAGGGAGGAGGAGGGGAAGGAAGGAGGAATAATAAGAACATCGGTAGTTAGTCTCCTATTTTGTTACTTTATGTTCCCCAGATGACTGCAATTTTTCTATGTCTGGCCCTATCTTTCTGACTCATTTCACTTAGCATGCTACTTTCCATGTAGTACCACTTGTATATAAGTTTCATGACTTCATCTTTTCTAACAGCTACAGCACCCAAAAGGAGAGAGAGAACAAAGGGGAATGCCCTGCTACAGAGGCAGAGTGGAATGGGGGGGGGGAGGGGAGGGATGCTGGGATCAGTGGTGGTGGAGAATGGGCACTGGTGGAGGGATGGGTACTTGATCATTGTATAACTGAAACCCAAGCACAAAAATTTGTAAATCTACAACTGTACCTCATGGTGTTTCACTAATAAAAACCTTTAAAAAAAAAAGAGCATTGGTAGTTCCCGGGGTTACGGAGAGCAAGGAACTGCACTGAGTCCTTCACACTGACTCTGCTTCAATGTTCCTCTGATTTCCCCTGAGTGTGGCTCCTTCCAGCCCTGCTTCTTTCCTGTGCCCCCAGTCTACTGGCTGAGTCCTCCTGTCATGCCCTGACTCTCCCCACCCCCATTTATGTGATTTTCACCTGTGGCCCCTTGGAATATCCTGGGGACCTGTGGGGGGAGGCACAAGGCTCCTGGCTGGGAAAGGGTGGGTGACTTCATCTACAAATCCCTGTGAATAGATTTGCGTTTATTGACTGATAAATGCTGCAACAGGGAGGATGAGCTAGCAAGACCATCTTAGGCGGGGCAGGTGGACCCCATTCACACCCAATGCAGCAGCAGCCTCAGCATCCCCCTCAGCCAGCGCCCTATGCCTCCTCTGCTGGATTCCACACAGTCAGGTCACCCCAAGTGTGTCCCCTGCACGTCAGACAGTACCACGTCCCCCAAGACCCCAGTGATGTTCCCGGTGCCTGTGTTTCCATTATAGGGATGTACCCGGGTGTGGCTTCAGTCCTAAGAAGGATGCCACATGGACCTGCAGGGGCCACAGGAACTCCCAGAAATGCTTTGGGAGGGGTCGCTCTGAGCAAGGTTTAAGAACAGTCGAAAATCCACGTCTGCTTCCCCCCCCCTCCGTTCTCCCCCCTCCCCGCCCGTCTTGTCTTTCCTTTGCTCCATCCACACAAGCAGAGTCATGGCTCCGGGAAGCCAGCGCTTTCCTGCTTCAGTGAGATGAAAGGTCCTCTCCCGAGTTTACCAGAGATGCAGGTTCCAAGAACCTTGACCTTCCTCAAGGACTTACTGCCTGGATTCCTAAGTCCTGGTGAAAGAAATCATCACACCCATGCACGCCTGCCGGCAGCACTTCAGAATTGCTAAGGACAAGGCCACTTTCTCGCATGCAAAGTCACTCAGTGACTTCAGGCAAAGTCAATACTGATGGAATACTTTCTCTACGATCCATACTCGGAACCAGCCTTCACCTGACACCCGTTGGGGCTGGACCTAGTGACTCAGAGTAGCTGGATGTGGATGAAGAATTAATAAAAGTAGTCAGGAATTCATAGCTGCCGAGTGCTTTGGCCTTGGAGAGCCCTTCCGCTATCCTGTCTGAATTGGTTCTCAAGCTGGACCTCAAGGTTAGGCGGTCAGTGTGACCCTGAGAGGGGAAGTGAGGTGGGACAGTGCTCACTCCACCCGCTGGTGTTCTATTTTATTTAATTTTGGTGGAGAAGGAAGCAGCAGTGCTCAGAGAATCTGGTGTGCATCTCCCAGAAGCCTCTGGTCAGCAGGGTCTGTGGATGCAGGGCTCCGTGGGGGTGGGGACTGAGTTGGCCCCATGCAAGGCACACATGTCCACCCCATCTGCCTCCCATGCTCTCTTTTAAATAATTTACTTGTCTAAGTGCTGAAATTTTAGTAGACTCTTCCAAACACTCAAGCCCTATGACTGAAGCACTCTCCTTTGGTGTTAGCCTCTCGAGCATGCTGCCTTTAAAGTAGGTGTTGATCTTGTGGATGTGGGCCAGTCTCTAGGAGAGAGAGAATAGAGGGGAATGCCCTGGCACAGAGGCAGGGTCGGGGTGGGGGGCTGGGGGATGGGAGGGATACTGGGATCCGTGGTGGTGGGAAATGGGCACTGGTGGAGGGATGGGTATTTGACCATTGTATAATTGAAACCCAAGCACAAAATTTGTAAGTCTACAACTGTACTTCATGGTGTCTCACTAATAGAAATAAAGAAAGAAAGAAAGAAAGAAAGAAAGAAAGAAAGAAAGAAAGAAAGAAAGAAAGTAGGTGTTGATTCACTGACGGCTGTCAGGGGAGCTTCTGGGCAGCAGCTGGGCCACAGGCTGCAGGGGCACACGGCTGCAGGGGCCCGGCTCTGAGTGGTTCGCAGCAGGACAGACCCTCTCGGGGCCCAGTGGTTCACTGATTTGAGTGAGGAACTTTTCTGTCCTTTGAAGGAGCCTAAAGGCACCAGAGGTCGGGGAGAGAGGCTGAGGACTAAGGGCCTTGCTGTGCACACGACCGACCCCGTTTAATCCCTGCACTGCTGGTGCAGCTTGGAGCACCTGAGCACCACAGCCTGGGCCCTCGAGTGGAACAAGCATGTCCAGTTGATCAGGAATCAGCAGGAGGGCCTCCTGAACCCCACCTGGGAGGCCCTGTTTCCCACGGGGGAGCAAGCTCATGGGCTTGTTTATTTCAACAGAGAAAGCGCTGGTCCCAGAAATGCATGCAGGCTTCAAGTCCTCACTTCCCATCCACTTCAATTTTCCCTCCAGTCACGTGACCCTGCTGGACCCAGTTCTACCGTCCAGCTGCCTCTCAGTGCAGAGGAGGAGCGAAAAGACCAATGCCACCAGGCACAGGGCAGGGTGCGGCGGGCAGGGGTTGGGGGGGTGGCAGGCACAGGAGGCTTGGGGGTAGGGGGTTGTCTTGTTTTGTTTTGGTGTTGGAGCCACACCCACAGTGCTCAGGACTTACTCCTGGCTCTATGTTTAGGGATCACTCTGCTGGGCTCGGGGGACCATATGGGGTGCCGGGATGGAACCGGGTCTGTGTGAAGGCAAATGCCTTTCTTGGGGTCCTCTCTCAGGCCAGTGTTTTGAGGCGCAGAGAGAACAGCATACAGCAGGGGTCGCCGGTGCCTTCAAACTACCATGAGGAAGCCAGGCAGAAGGAACTTGATAGGTGCTGACCCACTGGACCAGCACAGGCGCTGTGATCGGAACCACCACCACTCAGAACACACAACCACAAACCCACAGGGCATGGAGTGCTGTTTGGGGCGACAGGAAATGGAATTTTTCCTGTGTGGCACTTTGCGCTCTTTGCAAATGTGGGCTAGGAAAGACAAAATGTTTACCTTTTCCAGGGCCTCTCGGTCAAGTAGTTCTTGCACAGCTAGAAGCTTGATGCTGAAAGAAAAAGAAAATTAAAACCACACTTGAAAACCACTCGCTTCAGGTCACCAGAACAAGAACAAGAAGTCCGAAATTTGAGCCTGTATCTGTCACCTCCCTTCTCTGGGCTTGGATGTGAAATGAGCCTTTCAGAACGATAACGACTGTCCTAAATCACACATCTGATTTCCCACAGGCTCCGCAATTCTGCTTCTGGGTGGACCCCCCCACGAGTCTGAAACCGGAGAGATCTGTGTCCACAGCAACAGATTTGTAAGAGTCGGGAATTTCCACAATAGGTGAACAAATAAATGCAAGACCCAGATATGGTGGAATACTGCTCACGCGTCAAAGAAGCCAGTACTGACCTGTGCTTTAAGATGGCAGGACACGGGGCCAGAGAGACGATACAGTGGTGGAGCGCTTGCCTTGCACATGGCTGACCTGGGTTACCATCCCTGGTATCCCACATGGACCCCACCAGCAATGGTCCCTGAGCACAGAGCCAGGGGTAAACCTTGAGCACTGCTGGGTGTGGTCCACAAACAAACAAACCAACATGAATCTTTGTATGATGCTAAATGAAGGAAAGCAGACCCCGCTGTGGGGATTGTCTGACCCCAAGTCCATGTGGCCCCTGGCATGGTCAGAGTGAAATGGACAAAAAGTAGAGGTGGAGGCAGGGCTACTCTGACGAGGAAGAGCGTGGGCATAGAGAGAGCTGAAGGCTGCCTACCATGTGGCTATTCTCAGTGTCTTGACCTGTGTGGTGACATGTCAAAAAACCGTATGTTTGCTGCCAGAGTAAGTGTTCCACGTATAAACGCACCAAGCGGCTGGCAGCTGCTGCATGGAAGAAACACATATTAGCCAGAGAAAAGGAAGGATTCTTTCCTGGCCGTCACCGTGGTGATGGCAGAAGATCTCAGGTGGCTGCTCTGCTGCGCGCCCCCCCCCTCCCCACCTGGATGCTGGGAGCCAAGGACGCAGGACCCAGGAGCTCACTGAGCAGACGCGTCTGCCCTGTGTTGGGAGCGCTAAGGAGGGTCATCCCTGTGGCCCACTGAGAAAGTGAGGAAGCCTGGGAGAAGGAAAGGTGGGTCCAGCATGGCCCCTCTGGCTTCAGAACAAGATCCAGGCCCGGAGCGATAGCACAGCAGGAAGGGTGCTTGCCTGGCAGGCGGCTGAATCCCAGTTCAATCCCAGGCATTCCGTATGGTCCCCAAGCACCACGAGGAGTGATTCCTGAGTGCAGAGCTGGGACAAACCCTGAGCATCCTGGGGTGTGTACCCCACGCTCCCCAGAAAGAGCAAGACCCAGTCTGGAGGCAGCGACGCAGGGCAGAGCTGAGAGAGGCGAGGGGCACCCGGGTCTCGGGCCTTCCAGCCGCAGGGCTCTTGGGAGTGTCTGGGACACAGTCGAAGCTGCTGAGGCTGGACTGGGCAGCAGAGGGGGGCCAGGCCAGCCTGCAGAAATAGGCCCTTCCACAGCATATGCTTCCTCCTGTGCAGGACAGGCTGCCCCTTACAGTACCCACCACCCTCTCTGCACAGCCAAGCAAACACCGTCCAGCCCAAAACAAGAGTCTTCACTGAACCTCCAGGAGTATTTCCTGTATTTGTGTTTGGTTGTGGGCCACACCCGGCAATGCTTAGAGCTTCCCCTGGCTCTTTGCTCACGGATCACGCATGTCAAGGCTCAGGGGTCCATTCTGGGTGTCGGGGATGGAACCCTGCTTGGCCATGTGCAAGGCAAGCCCCCTTCCCTCTGTACTATCTCTCCAGCCCCACAATCAGCATTTTAAAGGCTTAAGAGACACTGCTGACGCTGCCAGTTGGTGTCCAGAGGAGCTAAAGGACACGGGCTGACCACTCCACCCTGACCACAGGGACTTCCTTTAGTCTCTGGCTATGCCTGCTCTCACGGTTGTTCTCCCCCCCCCCCCTTTCTTCTTTTTAATGTAGGAGTCACTGTCACTGTCTGTCCTCCCGTTGTTCATCGATTTGCTCGAGCGGGCCCAGTAACGTCTCCATTGGAGACTTTGTTGTTACTGTGTTGCTATTTATTTGGCCATTGATTAGGCTGATTGAATTGGGCATGAACTCCACATTACTTTTTTCCCCCCCTTTAATAAATTTATTTATTGAATCACCATGAGAGCAGTTACAAAGCTTTTGGGTTTAAGTCTCGGTCATACAACGATGAAACACCCGTCCCTTCACCAGTGGCCATTTTCCACTACCAAAATCCCCAGTATACCCCCCCACCCCCACCTGTGGGACAGATGATTTCCACATTACTCTCTCTCTCTACTTTGATTACATTCAATGTTTCGACACCAGACCCACCATTATTATTTGGGATTTTACCCCAACACTCAGATCTGCTGAAAAGGCAGGTTCTCACCAGATCCCCGCCCCAGGGACACCCCCCACCCCCCGCGCTAGTGCGCCCTCGTGTGGCTCCTCTGAGCAGCGTGCCTGCCTCCCACACTCCGTTTTCAGCAGCATGTTTGCTGGTACCTTAATTTTGGGCTTGGGGTGCTTTCACATGTCTCAAAGGCATTGTAAGGGGCCAGGCTAGGGGCTTTTCCCTACAATGAGAGGCACGTGGAAAGCCCTCAAGGAAGCCTTGGGGGCCTCTGCAGACCTACACTCCCACATGCGTCCCAGCAAGGACTATCAGCAGGTTGGCTGCGCCCATCTGTGGACAGGCCTGCAGTAGCCCAGGGGGTCTTGGAATTACCTGGCCTAGCACCTCCTTTTTAGGAAAGAAACAAAAAAAACACCCACATGATTCCTCTGCCCCTGCAGTCACAGGGTCTCACTGGTTCCCACTCATTATTCTGGCATCCCCAGGGTTGATTCACCACCTTTCACAGGACGTGCTGCAGACCCGGCAGGGTCATTGGCCGCCCCTCAGCACATTCTGATCTCCAACATCGGAATCCAGACTCCAACCGCCGAGATGCTAAGTTGGGAGTTTCCAATTGCAGCTCAGGTTTCAGAAACTTGAACTGCTTCTGAAATAACCATTGGAAAATATTTAGACAGGAGGAACTTTTTAATAGTATCTCATTCCTTCCCTCTCCATCGTCATAAAGTCCAGCTTCGGCTCATGGATCACACAGCAGGCTAGAGAAGAGGCTCAAACACTGCTAACATTGTCTGCTCCCTTGGCTCCCCTCCCTATCTGCAAATATTCTACATCTAAACCACCGTAGTGCAGGATAAAGCGACCAAGAGCTACAGATTCTGAATGAACACGGAATGTTGTCGACTTTGGGGAGTGAGGAAGGTCGAAGGCTGGCAGTTGTAGGTACTCTGCTCTCACAACTGCAGAGTGCTCAGGAGAGCTCAGAGCAAGGGTGAGCAGGCTGTTGTCCCCCCCACCTCCAGGAAGCTTCCTGCAGCAGGACGCCACACCTAGTCTGCCAGAGTGTTCTGGCGGGCGCTCCTTCCCACATTCTCCACTTTCACACAGTTTCATTTAGAAATATTTGGTTTGTGAGGAATTGTTCTATTTTGTCAGTCTCCTGAAAAAATAATGAGCACCAACTTAACAATTGTCTTCTAATTGATTAAGGCCAACATTTATTTCACTAACATTTATTTCACTAACACCATCTTTAATTGAATTTTTATAAGTGATTTATTGTATCCTCTAAGCAAATGTTTGCTTTTGTTTCAAATTTTATGTTGACAGTTCCAGGTTTGGGTGTCCACAATTACTTGAACTTCATTGCCAGGCTGTGTGTGCTGTATATGCTGTGTTACTGTGTGTTCTGTGTGTATTGTGTGTGCTGTAGTGCTGTGCGTGATGTTTATATTGTGTATGCATGTACTGTGTATTGCGTGTGCTGCGTACTGTGTGCTGTGTGCTGTGTGTGCTATGTGGTGTGTGTGTTGTGTGTGCTGTGTGTGCTATGTACAGCGCGTGCTGTGTGCTGTGTGTGCTATGTGCTATGTGTGCTGTGTGCTGTGTGCGCTTTGTGCAGCGCGTGCTGTGTGTGCTTTGTGTGCTATGTGCTATGTGTGCTGTGTGTGTTGTGTGTGCTTTGTGTGCTATGTGCTGTGTGTACTCTGGGTGCTGTATGCTGTGTACGCTGTGGGTGCGGTGTGCAGTAGGTGCTGGCTGTGTTGTGCCGGGGGCCCTGTTCGCCCGTGGCTCTGGGCCGTGGAGGTGGCAGCAGAGCCACCTGGCTCCATGTGATTGGGGATCAGACCTTTGCTGGGTGTCCCCAAGCTGCTCCCCATGCGGCTCAGCACCTCTCCGTAGTCACTGAGACTTTCATGTCATGAATTGGAACTTCCAATGATTCCAGCACTCTGTGGGCAGAGAAGTTACCTGTACATTTCACGATTTAAGAAAAAAAAATCTATTATACTTTCTTCGGTCAATTTTGTGAGTTCTGCTCCTTTAGTCCTGCATTTGGGTGGATGCAGCATTTGATTTTGGCATCTCCCAGGAGGTGCCTTTAATATTTTATATTGGTGTAAAGGAAAGGGCGCTGAGTTGGTTTTCTGAAATCCAAGCTGTAGCCAAGCTTAGTAGTGAGTTGTAAGCACTTACTACTAAATAAAACAGCCTACTGTGAAATGAATGTGCCCATAAACTAACTGATACCAACAAGATTCAAGCTGTTATTGTACATTTCTGCTTCCTCCTAAAACAAACATACCAATCTTCTAAATAAATACCCCAGTCATATATTTTCCACCCCCTTATTTAATTCAGGGTCACTGGGGGCTGACTCATTCCAACATCTCAGGGTATGAGACAAGAAGCCATCCTGGATCTAATCTTGGGCGGGGGATTCTTTCCATCCCAGGGAGTGCACACCCCATCACTCCTGTGATCCTGACACTTACATCTCTGGAATGTGGGATGAATCAGAAACCAGCTGAGAAGACCCCCTGAGAGGTCAAGAACACCCATCCTCAGGAACAGTGGTCCCCTGGGAAGGTTTACTTATTATTATTATTTTTTTAATTTGAGAATTATTTTTATGGAG